CTATGTATTAACAGACCTCTCTGCATTGAATCATATCTGTTATTAACCTCTGTCTCTCTTCCACAGCATGTCTTTATCCTGTCTTAACCGGAGGTTCTGCTGAAGGTTTCTTCCTTTTTAAAGGGAGTTTTTCCTTCCTGATATCAACTGTTCTCTAATTGTTGGGGTTCTCTGCATTACAGTAGGGCCTACCTTACAATCTAAAGCACCTTGAGACGACTGTTGTTAGGTTTTGATGCTGCATAAATAAAACTGAAGGCCGTTTCATATATATGTTGATATCTTTGTATTTACCTGTGTGTTGCTTTCTTGTGAGGAACCGTTTTGTATTCTTCTGGAAACCAGCGTCTGAAAGTGTTTATAGAAAGAAAGTCAATCGTACTGATACATTTATGATTTTCATGTATGGGCAGCATGCAGATGAAAATGCCATGCAACCTTTTCTTTGCTATGATGTGCAGCGGTGCATGAACTGCAGTAAACGGTTCTCACAACATTAGTTCACATCAAAGGGAGAAACCACGTGAGTGAGTGCGACTTGTCTCTGGCAAACATGTAAACACTAAAATACCTGAGCCATGAATCTGTGGGCATTCATGGCTATAAAGGGTTTGATTAGGAAATGGAAATATACATTCATGTTTATGGGTGTAGTCCCCCCCACCCCACCCACACTCCCTGTGACCAACAGTGTTTAACCGTGGCTCTCCACATGAAGATGCCACCCTGAGACAGATGTGGTCAGCTCATGCAAAGCTGCAACAACTCTCAGTTTACATCTCCTAAAGTCACCTGCCTGCTGAGCTCCTTGATGGTGCTCACGTCGATGATTCTGTAGTGAAGGTGGTGCATGAACTGTGGCATATACTTGTCCAGGAACCTCTTATCCGCATGCACAGAGTTACCTGTAGAACAACCAATCACAAGCATGACTCGAGCTGATCACTGACACCAGCACATGTGCTGCTGCTACACACATGATCTGCAGTATAGTCTGAGCTTTGAGTCCAGTATGAGTGAAGCAGAAGAAACAGATCCCCTACACCCGACTCAGTCCTTTCACACTCAGCATGTTAATCACTTTCATGAGCTCACTGTGTATTATCTAACACAGGGTGGGGAGCTCCAGGCCTCCAGGGTGTCCTGCAGGTTTAAATGGCTAAATGACCTCCTCGACATGTCTTCAAGTTCTCCAGAGGCCTGGTGATGAACATTTGATCCAGGGTGAGAACCTGCAGGTGCTCGAGGCCTGCAGTTCCCCACCCCTGATCTAATTAGAGTAATCACAGCTACCCAAAGGGAAACCTCGGACAATTAGGAAAGCTAAGCTGACGATTGGCTCTCCTCGAGCTCCTGTAGCTTCACCGGAGAGTCATTGCAGAGATGCTAGGCATAATCACCCACACAGTACCACAGACAGACATGCAGAATCATGACTTTGTGTCCAGGTCATGAACAGAGAGATCAGAGTTTACCAGCGAGGGGACATTGTCCAGGTGGTGTGTGCTGTCTGACGAAGGACAGGAACTCATACTCTGCTTGTTCCAGGGTGATTTTACTGTCCCGCACAGCCTGGGTCAGTCCTGACTGAGACACAAGTACAACAGACTTTGTTACTTCACTTTAAAACACGCCTCATCGTTCAAACAAGACAACAGTAAAGTGGAAAAGCAGGCACGTGAGCACAAATACTAACATCTGAACTGCTGTCTGGGTTTCTCTCAGTGTGGCACAACCTGAGGTTACAATGACATTAACCTCTGGGGAGATTGGTAACTGCACCTCCCTGAATCCTTCTCCCTGTAAAATGATGAACTTTAAATGATTTCGCACCAACTGTTTCTGTAAGATCATTGCTGATGTCCAGACCAGCAAATTGTCAAAACTTCTGATTAATCAGTCCATTGATTAGCAGCACCTGGTGCTACTTAACCTCTACTGAAGCAGCAAAGGGAGACTTCACACACCGTCTACATTCTGGTTTAACGTTAGTCTGACATGGTGTCACATGTCAAGCTCTTGTGCAAAGCTGCATTTATCTCAATTTAAGAGCTACAGAGGATCAGAAGATTTTGTTTTGGGTCCGGATACGTCAAACCTTGGAGTTAAGTATGTGGACTGAATGATAGTAAAGTTCATACACTGGTAACCTGGTCCTTAATGATGACGTATGAACCCTGCTTCAGTCCAAACAACTCTGTGTTTATTAAGGCTGTTGTGTTTTAACATGTTTTAATGTTTTGCATCTTGTTCTGTTTAATCTCAACAAGCCCCTAAAAACAGTC